TCCTTTTAATTTAAAATTACACGATTTTAAATTATTTTGTATAAGTAACCAAATAACCAATTAAATGATTTTCTTCACACATCGATCCTGAGATTGATCGCTGCTTCATACCTTACCTTTAAACCAAAATAGCTATCGTATGATATTGTAAACATTTTTTTTGATAAAGTCTTTATGAGCGGTTATATTATTTCACAAATTTTGTATTTATTTGATTAATTTAACAATTTTTATTAGTTAAACATTTAACATAATTATCAAATAAGCTTATAATTAATATAATATGTATGTATATTTAGTATTTATTTAATACGTTTTAGTTTTTTACATTTATTTCGTATATACCAATAAGTTAGTTTAATGTGTATATATGTAATAACTTGAAAATTTTTTCTCTCTCTAGTATATAGGTTCACAATATTTTCAAATATCATATTTATTAAAATATTATTTATATATATTATAAATAATTAAATAACTTAATTTATATTGGATTACATTTGTTTTAGATTATCGTACATAATATAAAAAATTAAATTGAGAGTTGATTATATTATTTTAATATGTTTAATAAATGTTGTTATATACTTGTTAATGAATATTTTTGGAAAACATATATTTCAAAAGTTAATGCAATAACAGTTGACTTTGTTTGAGGCAATTCTGGCAACGATCTTTTATCTCACCGTACTCAAAAATCTTGCGAAAGATCATTTGAAAGATCTCTAGTATTCTGGCAGCGGTATTTTTCAAGTCAGAAAGCTGTTTTCGGTATTTCTATAGATCAAATAAAATATCTGCTATTGATCAGATCTTTCGATTGTCAGGTAAGACTTTTTTTGTGGTTTTCGCGTACAAACTTTTTTATATAAAATAAAATACATAAAAATTAGAAGTAAATGTATTGATATACTATACTGGCTTTATAAAAATTTTAAAATATATATATTATATATTTATATAAAATATTTATATTTATATATATAATTAAATTTTAATATTTATTTATTTTTGTTTAACATTAATTTATTTATTTATTTATATATATTTAAGCTATAATTTTAAAATTAATTATTTGCCATTGTTGTTGTTAATGCAGCAATAGCTGCAATCATTTCTTATATAACAAGAGTTATAAATTATTAGAAATATAAATGTAAATATGAAATATAAATAATAATAATAATAATAATTAAATATAAAACTTATCAATAATCCAAATATGATGGTTTTGTATTAAAATTCAATGGTTTACTTGCATGCGGTAGCGGTTAGCACGACAGAAATAGAACAAAATAGCTTTCTACCAAGAATTACAAATTATAAAACATTTTTTGAGACTTTTGTGCCAGAACAGCAAAAATCTTATAAACGGTCTTTCGGTCGATCTTACAAAGATCTTGCGAAAGATTTTTAACGATCTTTGCCAGAATTGCGCTGTGAAAGCAGTAAATTAAACTTAAGAAACTAAAATTTAATAATAAATACATATGCGATGATTGTAGGGGAAAAGTATGTGTGACTAAAAGAGAGAAATAAAGCTACAAGCTAGTGATAAAGAGTATTGAATTGATGTACTAAGAAGAAGACTTATAACAAATTAGAAAAAAGAAACTAGGGCACTATAACTTAGTGGCATATAAATTGCAAGAAAAGATTATGTGCATGAAATTAAGAGAGAATGAGTGAGAGTAAGAGAGTGAGAGAGAGAGAGCATATTGAGTAGGATAGAAAGAGACAGAGGGAAGAGCAGAAACAATGTGAAAGCTGATTGAACTGATAAACAGAGAATTTTTATAACAAATAGGTTTTATAGCAAATTTTTAAGAAATTTATTCCTCACATATATAAGGGAAGAGAAATTAAAATTATAATTTATCACTAATGAAATTGTGCAACGTTATGGTTACAATCTCTTAAAGTTATATTCTTAATTAACTTCCATTTCAGTTTAATTCACCAAGTGGATTGAAAAAAATATTACCAAGTGCGTTAAAGATGAGTAAAATAGTTAAATGGATTTTAAATCAAATTTTTATTAGTTTAATTATTTCAGTTTCTAACCGCATTTATTTAATAGTAACAATGCCTTCTTTAGTTATCAAAGTTGTTACTTTATTATAAAAATATGATTTCTTCTTCTCTGGTAAGTATTGTTTACAAAGTTATTGAGCAGTTATTGATATTAAAGCTTCAAGCGGATTGTTAAATCACAAATTAATTATAAAAATTTAATATTAAACCTTGTTTAAGTCGATATTAAAAACAAATCTCGTTGAAATCTAGACTAAATTTTTATGCGGGAATAAATAACACAAGACTTAAAAACATCAATTCCCAAGGGTGCCTATGCAACAACCTTCAAGGCAGTAATATATGCTATGAAATTATGAAAGTATACAGGAATCTACATTTATATATCATCAGACACTCAAACGGTATGAGGGCTCTGCAGGTAATAGCGGTCAAATCAACAATAACGAAAGGTTGTCTAAATCTTCTAAATACATTAAGAAAGTTATTATTGTAGCATTAAAAGGAGTTCGAGATCATAAAGGAAATGTGAATAATAAAATGGTTGATTATCTTACGAAAAGAGGGCCGGACATACCCTTAAATAGTTCTTCGCATTTCTATGGACTTACAAAAACTTACTTTACTGAAGTAATATAATATTTCATCACAGCAAAGAGAACATCAAATTAAGTTTCTAACGAAGCACGGTTGACTAACATAAATGTTTTTATTAGGTTTTTAAAGGTCACTGTATCTTGCAGTATAACTTAAATAAACTGAGTCTTTCTGGCGCTTATATCTATGAATTTTTTGAAGCAGACATCGAAAGGCAGATCTAGCCAACTGCATTTATGACAAAGAAGACTGTGGCGACACAGACCACACCTTCTTTAACTGTAATAGATGGCTCACATTTAGAAAGGAGATAATATCACAGATTGGACCAATAAATCCCAAAAATATAGTGGAAAAGACGAGAGCGAACCGAGAGTGGTGGCGAAATATAGAGTCATATTTGATTGAAGTCCTCAAAACAAAAATATTAGACCTAGAATAGAGAACCAGAAACTAGAATAGTAAATAGTGCATAAAATGGAGGTCTGGACGCAAATCAATAATCATATGAGCATGGCTTGAAATGCCAACATAAAAGAGACTTTCTTGAAAGTAATGCGAAAACGGTTTAAAGAGAAATAAGTCTCACCGAAAAGGAGGGTGTTTTAGTCCGTATACTACATTTTAATGTTAGGGAGTCACGTACAACCAGAAACTAGAATTGAAAATAGTGAAAACACCTAGAAAATGTGGAAAAGAACATTATGGCTTGAAGTGCCAAAATTAAAGATACCTTCCTCGAAGTAATGCGAAAGCTACTCAAAGAAGGAATAAGTCTCGTCAAAGAGGGGTGTTTTAGTCCATATACTACATATTAATGTTAGGGTATCGCGTACACAATTCCGACGACGGTCGGTTTGACGGTACATAAAGTATTCACATAAAAAAAAAAAACAAGAAAAAACTCTAAAATCATTTAATTAAATGTAAGTTAGAAATTTTCTATGACTTTAAAATCTGCAATAAATAATAAATTCTTACTGCAGAAGGCTTTACGGTTGTTTATTATGGGGTTATACCATATATTCAGTAGGAACACCATTTGATAATACTTTCATTTTTAATTGGCTTAATATTCACATTGTAAAGAAGTATAAAAAGTATTGAGATCTGGAAGTCTTCATACAAAAATTCTTTTTACTGAAACTCTTTTTAAACAATTTATATCGAAATTTAAGACCTGCACTAAGAAGAGTAAATAGAATATATGAACACTGGATGTCATGAAAAATCGAAATTATCTTTAACCGCAGAACTGAATAGAAAAATTGCGTTCAGAAATTACTTCCATATTCTAATTCTATCAGTAATGGTTACGTATTAATCCATCAACAAAAAAAGAATACTCTCTTCGAAATCTAAAACCGAATTTTTTCATTGAATTTTCAATTAAAAATGTTTGTTGATTTTAAGCAAATACAACGCGAACTTTGTAACTCATTCGTTGGGTATAGTTATATAAGTATAGATATTTAAATTCTATAGACGAGTATATAATAATGTATGTATGTGCACATGTTTGCATCTAAATTTAAATTAGAAACGCTGGCAATACCGGAAGCAAAGTTATTTTTTCATTATTTCTAAGCTCTTGTACTTATAAAAAAATATAAAAAAATGAGATTGCAAAAAATCATAAATTTAAAATATCAAAAACTCCAAACTTTTATTTTTTTCTGTACGCGAAGCATTAATACTAAAAGCGAGATTGAGCGAAAATAGCTCAGGGCGTTTAAGCAAAAAATTAAAAGGAGAAAGAACGAAAAAGTATCTTATGCAAAAATGAAAAAAAAATTTGGAAAATGAATAAAAATATAAATTTTATATTCGATTTCGCTAAAAATTGCCAAATGTTAACAAAAGGAAAATAAGAGCTAAGCTCACAAGGTAACCAATGCGGTTACCAATAAAAATACATGGAAAAATATATCTCTGGAACAGCACTCAAATGTGGTGAAATGTCGAATTAAAGATAAATAACGAAGCTGAAAACAAAATAAATCATTTTCTTTCGCTCTGTTTCTGTTATCTAATTTTTGAGTTATTTTTCATTCACTTTATTATTTGATAGCGCTCACGAATTGCATTAGACTCGGTAGAGTGTGGAACTATAACTTCCGCACATACGGCGTACATACGACGTACCTCACAAAGTCGTAGCGGTAGGACTGCACTGCAAGCACTGCAAGCACAGCTGCGTATCTTCACACAAAGCCCGTGTCTTCTCTCTTGTTTCACTTATTTGCTATATTTTAATACGAGTATTTACCTATCGCTATTACAAATTTCTAATATTTTTATTGAATTTATTGGCTAAATAGTTGCTTTTGTTCAGCTGGTTCTTAAGTTCTTAAGCTAAGGTTTGTGCACTACTTTTCTACTTGTGCTGGTTCCATGGAGTACATGTCACGCAGTAGGCGTGCAATAGGCACGTTTCCAATAGTCTCCTTGAAGAACAGTGCTTCGATAGTGCTGGCGCGTATTGTGCGTAGAGATGGAAGCAGTAATAGTAGGCGACCAAAACGTGTGGCTTGGCGTGGATAACGTAGGCGTACATGATCGGAGAGTATGCATTGCGCTTGATCTTGTAGCATTTCAACTGGTTGTACATCGCATAGACCAGGTGTTTCTGGTGCAAATAAAGCTATTGCCTTCATGCAACCCACCTCACTGCCATCTGGTGTTATTTGCCGGAAGCGGCACAGAATTTCTTGTATTGTTTTCATTTCAGTTTGTGTTGCTTCATCTTGTAGAACACGTTCTTTGATTATTGGTGTTTCGAGTATTGGTGTCAAGTCTAAAGGTATTGTCCATTGTGCCAAGTTAAGTAAGAACAGCTCCTTCCATGATTCCTGAAATAGAAGAAAAAGTTAATTTTTATTTTTACTTTTACTGTGGACGTTTCCCACTTATTGATTCTGAAATATATTAACTATATATATATATATATAAAGTAATTTTAGTTAAAAGATTAAAGATTTTATTTGATATAATAGTGTTTAAATTTTAATAGCGGAATTTAACATATTATCAGCCAGTGAATATGCCTGAACATTTTTATTTAAATATATATTTTATTATATATTTATTTAGCACTTTTTCTGGAGATAGTTTATACTGAAATAGAAAGCGGCTCGAAGTTAAATATCTACTTAGATACGCAAGTAATGAATAGAGAAAAATATTTCATACCACGTTTCGTCCAAAAATATGCTATTAAGAAGAAAAGCAATTGAAAGGTTAGCAACGAACAGAACAGAACGCAGTAGATGGTAAACACCGACTCATAAATAGATTAAAGAAAATTAAATAGTAGTGGATATTCCCAAAGGCGCTGTTTAACTGACACTCGATTAGTTAAAAAGCATCAAAAAATATCTCTTAAAAATGTATGCAATAAAATTGATAATACTTTAAGGAGATAAGCAATGGTGAGGTGAAATAGTCTAACCAGTTATAAAAACTTTTACTAATGATGTCACGAGAAAACTAAACGTCACAAAAATACTAATAGACGATGGTCGACTTGCATCATTCGTATATAAGACAGAAACTAACAATAGAAAATGTATGCAACTGGGAACGTGAGAACGAGAAACTTAGAGACAAAATACTTGGGAACTCAATTCGACACAAGATTTAAGTTAACGAAACATATTGACAGTAAAAAAATGCATAAAAAACTGAGGTGTCGACAACTTTATTGGGTTTTAAAATATAACTCTTTATACTTTATACAATAAAGTATTAATGTATAATGTAATTATCAAACCAATTCGGACCTACGGTATGGAACGATGAAGCTTTGATTCCACAACAAACTGTAGATTCTGCGAAGACAAAGAGGAATCAGTTATACATGTGCTGTTAGAATACCCTGCACTAATGCACAAACGGAATTGACTCCTGGGAATGCATATTCCTATGGAAGAGACAATAAGTCTCTGCAAAGTAGGACCTATACTACTTTTCATTGATGCAATAGGGCTTAGAGATCTACTCTAGACCCAGAAAAGACCCGACGGTCACAGTGCCACATCCCTTAACACTAATAATAATAATAATAAACATCAATAAAACTGAAACTGCAAAACAAGATTCAACGACAAGTCAGTGAAGCACCATGTAGCATAACAGAAACCATGCTACAAATTTAAGTACTTAGTACTTATTTTAGATATCAAAATAAGATTATTGCCAAATATTTAAAATATGTTGTGGATTTTCCAATTTTGGAGTTTAAAGATGTTTCAGGAATATAACTTCAAAAAAGAAATAGACAAACTAAATGATGTGTACTACAAGTCAACGTAGAGTTTTAGCACTTAGAGTCATTAGGTCCATGAGTAGTGATGCCCATTAAACACTAATTACAATATTGTTAAGATTTTTGGTATTATAAATTGTACTTTATAACTATAAACCGTGGAAATAATAGTTTTAATAGTTTCAATAGTTTTAGTTATATCAGTTATATCAGTTATAAATCCAACGTATTCTAAAAAATCTGATGGGATAATACAGAAATTTTCTAATTGGTTATCCTGAAGCTTAATATTTACATTTAGAATAACTTAATTCCATTTAACCTGAGATCTATCGTCATTAATTTAGACAGAATAGTCATTAATCTTTGAAAATGGACTTCAAAAGTTTACATCAAGCATACATTAAATTAAAGGTATGAGGTTTTTCTAAGCTTTGCTTGCCTAATATTCAAGAAAAACAATTAAAATTTTAATGTTGAACAGAGACATATAATACCACGATTTATGCATAGTGTTTTTTTTTTTGAATTGATCATAAGTATAGACAAATCATTTTAGATGAGTTCTAATGTTCGGCAATCATCAGAAAACAGTACATAAAATATTAACTTAAAGGTAACCCATCGAAAAACTGTTATTGAACGAAATTGAAATCTTGTGTTAAGAAACTCAAAGATAGCCACAGCATCAAATTATAAATAGGACCTATGACGAACTTTTTATCTGTAGAAGATTAAAAGTAATTATTTTACTAAGATACATTTCTAAGTACTTTTTAGCATAGTACGGGATCACTGTTATAAGTTTTCTTTCTTGAATCTTATTATACATATTTATTGAATTAACTAAAATTTCATAACCAATAAACAAAATAAATAAATTAAATGCCAAACATTATCGTTGTAGGTATGTAACAGAAACAATATTCAAATTCCCACATAATTTCTGATAGTATAAAAAGGTTAAGGTACTATCTAAAGAAACTTGGCTTCTCGTGGACGTTGAAAACTTTGAACACATTCTCTGTGATTGCCCAAAATGAAGCAGCAACAGAACTACCTATCTTGGTGTCAAATTCGTTAACACACATAGTAAACATAGTAAAACTATCCAAGGTGAGATTGATTAAAAGTATTATCTAACCAGATTAATAAAATTTTTAGGAATATGTAAAGCTGAGATATTATCTGATCAAAATTGGGCTTTCGGAGACTACTATTTGCCACTTTTGCAAAATATATGTTGAGAAGTTTAAACACATTTTCTATGTTTGATCAAAACTAAGCAACATCAAAGACAGGCTCATCGCTTCCCATGACACATGGTGGGCAAAACATAGATTGGGTGACAAGCTGTACACGTTCATTAGCACGATAGACCACCTGCACCGCGGTGGATATTTTCTCCACAAAATAATAATAAAAATAATATTTTATATTTTATATATATTCAAATCCAATTACAAATCATCTGCTAGGGCATCACGAAACTATAAATATCGACTACTAATGTTTCAATTTCATAAGCAACCTGTTGTAATTAAGTAAATTTTATAATTGAAAATATTTACATACCGTCTAAGTTGAGGTGACAACTTTCCATGGATCCATGGAACATTTGTGAATAATGTCTTGAGAGCCTAATGAACTTAGTGACATAAGTATTTTTCCAGTTTCTGAATTTAGTCAAACGATGTGTCAATTGGGATTGCGTTTCTGAAGCAAAATTAAAAACCTACAAAATGGAAGAGATAAGGCATAAATTTCGCAGAAAGTAATATTGACCACACTACGACTAGAGCCGTAGGCTTTGGGTATCCATTTACAAATCAAACATACATGTAAGAAAATGCTTCTTTAATGTAATTAGAACATTTGATATAAAGTAAGGCTAATCCTATGCACAGTAAAAAATGAATATTTTTATTTATGAAATTTATTAGAAATGATTGAAAAATCAGTATTTGTCTCTGACAATGAAAAATGGCTTCTATAGACTCATCAGATTTGCTATTAGATTTAAGAAACTTTCAGAATTATGTATTTATATTGACATAGTCACTCACCTGTAAAAGCAAATATTGATCATTTTTTGATAATGTTTGAAAAGGCATCAAACATTTAACCCAGCGAACCGCCATAAACAGGAGACGTGCTGTGGTCTCTTGTAACATTTCCCACGACAATAAACGTGAGTCCATTCCAATCAATTGTTGTGGCAACGGTGGAAACAAAATTGAATTGTGTACCTGATATTGAATGATTTCCTGACATTTGTCTGGGCTTAACAACAGCTCAAGAAAACCGTTCTGTCGTGCCGCATACAATGCACCAGCAGCCGCGGCCTGACCGCTAATATTTGCCGCGCTCGAAGTGAGCATTGGTGCGGATAAATTCGTTTGGTGTTGATTGTTTGGCGAATGAGTTGAACTGGTGGGAGTTGTCGGCTGATGTGTAGGAGTGGTGGAATTGTGTTGACCTGTGTTTGTTGTGTTATTAAAGAAGTTGTTGTTGTTGATGGTGTTATTGTTGTTGCTTTGTTTGTTGTAGGTATTGTTGTTGTTATTATTAACAATACTGATAGACATAGGTGAACCGGGCGATGTTATATTAGTATCGGTTGGTGATGGGGCTGGCGAAGCGGTTGTTGACAGCGGAGGTGTTGCAGATGGTGTTTCTGTTTCAACATTGACACGTGGACTTTCACTGCCAATTGATGATCGAACACCAATGCTCGATATTGATTGTATTGAGTTTGAGGGTGAGGGTGAGGAATAGTTTTGTGTCATTGTTGATTTTGCATAAAAATCTAGGCTTGTAGCGCTACCAGCACCCGTACTGCCAGACGAACCACCACTATTTGTCAAATCATAAGTGGGTAAAACGTTATTGACACCAACTGGCAGTGTGCCTGTCGAAGTCGCTGTCGATGTGACTGTTGATAGTGATGATGGCGGCAATGTAGCTGCAGCAACAGCATTAACAGCACCGACTATTGCTGCTGCAGTAGATGCTGATGCTTGTGCTGGTATGCTAGGCAATTTACTGGCAGCTTCAGCAATCAAATTGTGATGCATTTGTGGTAATAAATGTGGTGGAAATGGTAAAGGTGGATGTGTGCCAGTTGCAAGACCAACACCTACACCAGCGCCGCCATTTTGTAGTGAATTGTGTTGCGCTAGCGCATGTCCGGGGTGATGGAATGCTGTCGGGTGTGTGGGTGGTGCATGAAAGCCTTGTGTTGGATGCGTTGAGATGTGCGAAGTGTAATTGAATGACGCCGATACGTTGGTCACCAATGATACTGGCAAATGACCGGGATGATGGTGCGGATGGTGTGGTGGTAAGCCATTTGTGTGATGATGATGATGTGGATGGTGCGGATGATGATGATGCAACTGTGGATGTAATTTCGGTTTACGTGGACCACGTTCATGTTGAACCGCTGCAAAAAAAAAAATCAAAAACAAGGGAATATAAAAATTTTTGAAAAAATATCAATACATCATTTGTAAAAATAAAAACTCAATAAGTTTAATACACTGAATTTTAATAAAATTGAAATAATTGAAGGTTTTGTAGTGTAAATATATGGTGAATTAAATAAATGAAACTATTATTCACACTACAAATTTTAATGCTCACGTTAAGACTGCAATTTTTAACTCAAGGAGATTATCTAGTCTAGTCTAGTATTCATGAACAACTACAAATTTTTTGGATTGGCTTAATGACTAAATATTTAAAATTGTGTTTAAAAAGCATAACAATAATTTTTGAATTCTAATTAATTAGTTGTTCTTTATATATCTTTATATATCTTTTAAAAACATATTTTTTTAATTAATATTTGTTTTTACGGCAATTTGTAGAGTTATAAGGCGTAAAATCCTAAATGGTATTTGTTGTTTAAAAAAAATATAACTTAAGTTACTGCTAAACCTCAATTTTGTTTAAATATCTTTAAATCAAAATAAAATTGTCACATTTGAAGTGAAGATAATCCAAATTCCTTTCATGAAACACATTTTCATCCACCAGAATGAGTAGTTCGAAGAGATTTTTTGAAAATAAGATTGCTGTTAACATTAATGGAGAATGCATTTATTAAAAAATTTCGATTTGGATGGCGTGTAGTTTTCGTGACTCTATAAATTTTTTATGATATAAAATAAATTATCGTTTTATCTCTTAGAAGTAGCCCTTAAAACTGGCCAGTAAATTTATACTATATAACATCATTCAAAATTTTTCTTTGGGGTTATATTTGATTTAATGACTTAGTACTTCAAAAAAAATCAAATGATCAGCGATTTTATCTTACTTGCTTAATTTAATAGTTGTGAGGATTTGTTACCGGGTTTTTATCTATTGCAGCAAGTCTCTTCAGGCTCCAATCTCGTATATCAAATGCGGGAAGTGCGTCCTCTATTTAATTACTTTACTGGTGGACAGGGTCTAACTCCACATCTTCTTTCTCCAACTATCGCTTCCAAAATATTTTTCGATGGAGGATCGTTATCTATTCTCATGACATGACAAAGCGAATTAAACCGATGAATGTTACTTTGCCGAATTATATATTAATGTCGTGATAACGGTCCTACAGGTCGTGCGAATACTGTAGAGGATCGGTCAATTCGTAGAAGACCAAAGTTCTTATAAAGCACTTATTTTCTCAAAAACTTCCAGAGCGACTGTTTCATTTCTGAATTCATATGATCCTGAACTTATATGATGAGATGAGCGACCTATAGAACGTAAGTTTTTTCAGTCGAGAAAGAGCTTTATATTCTAATGGCTTACTGAGCGCTATTGGTAATGAGGACTCATCGCCTGATCTTTAGACTGACATCATTGTTGTTTTTTACAGCAGTCCAAGATAGATAAAATCTATCTATAAATGAATAGATTGACAGATTCTAAAGTATGGTCGCCATCTATTAGCTCGACGTTCGAGCGACGTGCATTTCTATCAGTGGCTGACATATACTTCCTTTTGTCCTCATTCACTGATCTTAACACAAACAATATTTTACATATTGTTGTGGTGATGTCTTATGTCATAATGTTTTTATTTTGAATTACAAATGTATAGCTCTTATTTGATTACCTTTTCGTAGTAACACAGCAAATTAAAATAGTTTCCAAATATTTTTTTATAAAATTCATACACTGTCATTTGCTTATCCTTTTTCACTACAAAACTTGAGTTTGTCATTCCACACTAATTTAGATACGGGTAAACACTCCTGTGCAAGCATAAATCAATCTTGAAAATTTTTTTCTTGGTTTACTTTGTAGTACTTTGGAAACTCCTTCCTTACCCAAAACTTTGCGAACTTTTTAACATTCAGCAAGATTTTGTGAACTTTGTGCGTGGAAATTTGCATACGTTTTTCTCAGACCAAAGACAAATCTTTCCGCAGTGGAAAGGAAAATTCAAAATCAACAATAAAAAAGTTAAAGAGAAAGAATTACAAGATAAAGAACTTTTTACCCATCTTCAAATTAACTTTTATTTATTTAACTACTTAAAAGCAGATTATCGCAATTATACACTTGAACTGATTTAATGCAAAACACATTATCGAGGGTTGCAGATCGAAGTGAAAGTAACGCATTTTGCATGACTGCGTGTATGCGTGTGTGGTAAGTAGACTAATGGTAAGTAATAGAGGGAGTAAAAAATCAGTTGGGAACCAAGTGAGAGTTCTTTAAATTCATTGCAAAGCAGAATAAATTTCAAAAGGGGTCAGAGTAAGTAATTAATCGTTGAAATTTGTATGTCAAATGAGATGAAAGCTATAGAAGATTTTGGCGTAAAGTTCAACTTAATTCGACGATAGTTCAAGAAAATAGTATTGACTTTTAAATCGCATATTCAAAACACGATTGTAAAATATCAAATAAACTTCATACCTACATAAATCATAAATACTTAAAATAGATAATCATAAAAAGTGATATATGGTAGATAGCCATAAATATTACTATCTAAACCTAAATTACTAAAATTCTGAACTCATATGATATCAAGTCCATACCCAACCCACACTAAAAATATTTTTATTGTTCTTGTTTTAAAATAAGTATGAACTTATCAAGTAGAAACATTGAAAATTTTATCTACTTAAGCTCCAAAATGCTTTTAATATAACAAAAATTTCAATTAAAAAAATTCAACTTCATCAATTTTTTAACTGCGGGTTCAAAAATAAAAAGGAAAAAATTGGAAGGAAAGCAAATCCTGCCACTTGCTGAAAAGACTTAAGGCAATTTGACGGGAACTCCGAAAAAAACGTGACTGAATCGTTTTCTGTGTCCTCGGTCTGTGAAATTTCGCTGTAGCAAACACAAAATTGGCAAGCAGCCTTTCCAGACTTCTAAGAATATTCCTCAGCTTCATTTTCTTTTTATTCTTTAAGTGAAAAAGATTCTAACCCTTTGGTTTTCAACTTTTAACCAAGTGGCTCTGAAATGAGTGCGTAAGGCAATTGAAGGAAGGAAAACAGAAATTTGTCAAGTATCTCAACTTGATATTTCACTTAACTTAAAATTTAAATAAAAAAGAAACATTTCACGACAAAAAAAAACAACAAGACTTGCAAGACAGTATATAATAAAATTTTTGGAAACAATAAAAAATATATATATATGTTTTTTTCCCATAAGTTGATGAGTTATAACCACTTTTTCATTTTTAATTTAAAAAGTTGGCAGCACTGCTCGCAAAAGTTACTCAATGCAAAAGTCGTGTTACGGCAAAAATTTACCCGGAAGCGTTTGAGGAATATTTTATTTTCATTTTATGGGATTTAAGTAATTAAATTTTGGTGTGATAAGATTGGATTTGATAGAGAAGTTGAAATGGGATTCACAATGATGTATTAATTAATAAATGTATTAAGGATACTACAATTCAAAGCACTACTTGTAAAATTATAAAAGATATTTGAAAACATTTTCTATAATACATTTGTTTATGATTTTACTCAGTTTAACAAAAAAACAAAACTTTGAAAAATTGTTAGAATTTTAGGTACCTGTTCCTCAATAAAATTTGTGGTCAAATATACAACATATCATTTTAGAAACTATACGAGTTATAGGGCACAGATAACTCAAAGTTTTTGCTACCTCGCTGTTCGTCGTTTATTTACTTCACTAAATTCAATTTGCTACCAACACCATTTCACCTACTAGTGCTGCCAACTTCATTTGCTGCTATAAATTTATAGTTATATATAACAACATCGTTAAAAAAATCAATTTGACTCAGGTTTTGAAGAAACTAGCACCGAATTCGCTCGTTAATAGACTAGATTCATATATAAAATCTAAATGTATTAGCACTTATGTTACTATTTCTTTTTTATATACATAGACTGACTGGGTATTTCTGACAACTATCCTTCAGCACACCACAGTCTTTCAAAGCACAAAAATATGTCAAAAGTGAGGAACCAACTTAAAGAGATCACTTAATTACATTACAAATAAACAAATTTACAAAATATTCCAATTTGATTATACTTTTTTTTTTGGTATCGGACCTAGGGGAAAAATCTTCAAAAGATACAAATGACCCGTACCATTTGCATGCCCGATTCATGCACGACTCAAATTGAGTCATACATGCCTACGAACTAAAAAGTCCCCTCATTCTCAGCTCAAAATCCTGAAAATCCCTGCAGTACGACCAGTTAAGGTATTCCTTGATTATACTAAATAGTTCTTATTGTATGGACATCTATTAAATTATCACTGGCCAAAAAATAATAAATATATAGCACATACAGCTGTTTCGAGTATTACCAACAATTATTATATATTAAAAAAGCAGCGGCTCGGAGAAAGGAAAAAGGTACTTGTTTGCAGTAAATAAATTATATGATGTATGACAATTTGGATCAATAAATCCTCATTACCGGATTGTGAATATAGTACACCATGTCATGTGATATTTTTTGGTAGAAACCTTAAACTATTTAACAATATTTAGAAGGTATTTGTTGTATTTAATAATTTCTAAACAATTTTTTTTAATTTGTGCTACTAAATATTAAACTTATCAAAATTGAAGTGTCAAAATTATTAATTAGAAATAAAAAGAGTTGTTTTAATTCACTATTGTTCAAAACCTTTTTATAAAATAATGGTTTATATCTGTTAAGAAAATAGTATTTTTCGTCATAATTTAATTATGACTTTAAATTTAATATTGAATAGGACATGTTCTTGCCCAGCAGAAGAGCAAAAGTAGGAAGGAAAATAAGCTCAGATCGAAAACCTGCTTTATATCGAAGACTAAACTCAATCTCGTAAAAACTCTCTAATTACTCTAGTTGAAAAAACCATTCCAATGTCCTTACTCAGTTCGTCTGTATGGTTAAGATTCTTTGCTATAATCAACTTAACTTTACGCTTCTTATATATGCATAT